TTTCCCTGCCCCTTTCCCTCACTGGAGGGGCCGGTGTCTCCCCTGCCCTCTTGCAGCTCCAGACATACCCCACCCACCACACACCCACACCCTGCCCCCTACAGACTTACCTGCACCCAATTGCTTTGCTGCCCCTACCCCCTTGCCTGGCTACATGCTGGCCATGTGTCTGCACACCTTTCCTTCAATTGCCCTGCCCCCAGCCCCAAGCAGCTCCTTGCTAGGGCAAGCCAGGAAGTGCTGGGAAAAATGTTAAGGCTGAGCAGAGCAAAATTCTGGACACTTGATCATATTAAAAAAAAAAAAAAAAAAACCCAGACCGAGCTCCGAGGATCTAAAAAGAGGACATGTCTGGGAAATCCCGGACATATGGTAACCCTAATCAGAGCCCCTTCTTGGGGAAGGCATAGAGGGGCAGCAGCAGGGTCACATCAAACCATCTTGCTGGAGGAGGCAGATACAGCTGGCTAGAGCAGTTTTGGCCAGCCTTTTTGGAAGGCATGCCACAGGTTAAACTTAAGTCCCTCCCCGAGTACCACTCTCATCCCCACCCCCCAGAGTCCTCCATACCCGACAGCATTTGCACCATGGGGTGCTGGAATGGAGGCAGGGAAGCTCAAGCTTCCAGCGCTGGCCACATAGAGTGGCATAGAGGAAGAATGCCATTGCAAGAGGAGGTCTCACCACCAAGGGTCAGGCTAGCTTTTCCAGGCTCTGAGGCTGCAAGCAAGGGCTCAAAGTCCTAAAGTTGGCAGCAGCTGCATGGTTAGGAAAGGGTTAACCAGGTTCATGATGGTGACACCTGATGCTTCCTTTCACAGCAGCCTTTGCTCATATACCTCCATTCTAGCTTCTCCCTTTACTGAGTGTCCAGGGCACATGTGCCACACACAGCTGCTGCTTGGGGCGTGTGTGCCATGGGTTGGCCACCCCAGGCTAGAGGATTCAGTCAATGTGCCCTGTTACAATGGCTCCGGGTGCCACAGCACCCTCTCATGGAGAGGGTCTAGCTGAGCAGTGGATCACTTGGATACTGACCCTCCCCCTGGGGGGGGGACCCAGGCTCAAATGAAGCTGCCTCACAGTCACCTATCCAGATGCTACCCCTACATAAGATCCAAGTCCCAGTGGAGGCTGCACAAAGGCAGCCTCCTGTCTTCCTCTGGAGAAGGGCCATACCCTTACAGGGCCTGCTCAGCTTCTGTATCTTTCAGTGCTACCTGCTGGGAGAGGCCCAGTCTATCAGGAGACCAATTTTCTACTGTTTCTCCTCTTTCTCCCACTGTGGAAGGCTCTATTCCAAAGGGAGAGGACAGAAGAGTCATTTTTACACATGTATGTGTTGCAGTGCTGGGCGCTTTGAAAAGCGCCTGGCACTGCGCTGCATGCAGTTGTATAAGCAGCGAAATGCATGTCAGTGCTGAGAAAATGGCAGCGGCGTGCTTTTGAACTAAAACACCTCAAAGGTGCTTGCTGCCATTTTCTGTGGACTGCCATTTTCTGCACACCACTGCCATTTTCTGCATGCTGACATGCATTTTGCCACTTATACAACCGCATGCAGTGCAGTTTGCATCAGCTTGCATGCGGAGCAGACTTGATTAATTGAGTCCCCCCTGCTGTCCCCACTGCCTTCCACAGCCACCCTGTTAGGGACTTATTCGTAGCAGGGCGAGCCTGTCCCCTGTGCTGAACAGTTCAGGTGCATTGAAACCCACTGATGCCACCTCTCACCCAGGGAGAGTCCCAGGCCAGAGGTGAAAATCAGAGGCCTGTCTCATCACTGAGAGGACTCCCCTTGGTGTTGCGTTGATGCTGCATGGGTCCTATGTTTCTCTCTCTCTGGCAGGAATGGAAATACAGGGTTCCAGCAAGTCCTGGAGAGACTGGAGAGTGACCCAGTGTGCCAGCGCCTCTCCCTCAAATCCTTCCTCATCCTCCCCTTCCAACGCATCACCCGGCTCAAGCTCCTCCTGCAGGTAATAGTGCTGGGACCACAGGAATCTCAGTCCCTGTACACACCACTGTCTCCTCCCCTACTGCACTGTCTTGCTGCACTCTCAGCTGCAGGTCACTGAACAGGCACCTTCTTCAAAACCAGGCAACTAAATAGAGAGGAACTTAGGGCAAGAGGAAGGAAACCAGACTGCACACAGTCCTGCATCTTGCGGTTGTGGCTATCTTTGCTTGGTGCTCTGCTGCTGTAGGGTGGTTATGGTGGATGTGCTCAGCCACACCACCCGACTCTGTGGTTTAAAAGTGCATCCCGTGTCTAAAACCAATGCCAGAAATTGCATGTGAAAACAGATAAGAATCAGTGAAGCCTACGAAAGAAGCAGGTTGGGGATTTTCTATTGGAATAACTGTTCAAAGGAAAAGGCTTTCCTAGAAAACATCAATTTTACAAATATTTCAATTTTCTGCACAACATTCAGTTTTCTAGCAAGCAAAATTAAGCTGACCACTTCCTTCTTGCTTGAAGGAGGAGGAGGGGGGAGGATTCTCTTCAGTTGTATTCATTACTTACAGGGAGAAGGCAATATTGCCAAAATACCGCCAAATGATTTTTGTTGGCTGGCTGCCTGGAACACTACAGGTTTTCCCAACACAGAATTTTTTGGAAAGAAATTCCATGCCTACACATTATTTTTATCTCATTTTAGTGGGGAAAAATTAAAGCTTGTGGAATTTCCTTGTTGGAAGGGCTTTCTGTTGCTTGAATAGCTCCATTTAGAGTCTTGGGGGACTGTACTAAGCCCATCTTACAGGTGGTATTGACCAAAAGCAGTTGTGTACGTAGGTCATACTGTCTTACTTCCTGGCCATTCCCCTGAACATAAGATATTGCATGTGGTCACTGAGTCTATTACACTTGCAAAGAGCTTCAGCTTCTTCATTTGGGTTCCTGTCCTCACATCTCTGTTTCTGATTGTCCACTGCACAATCCCCTCAATTTGCTCATTTCCTCAGATCTGCTGCCTTCCTAAGCTCATACCTTGCTCTTCTCTCTACCTCCACTCTGAAGAGGATTTTGTGGGTTTTTTTCCCCCCCCAGAATATATTGAAGAGAACACGGCTTGGCTCTGAGGAAGAGGTGCAGGCCACACAGGCTTATGATGCACTTGAGAAGGTATGAGGCACCAGTCGGTTTTTCTCAGTAATGGCATATCCAGCTGGCAAGGCTAGTTCGGCCACTGCTGCTGGACATGCAGTTCAAGAGGTCCTATATAAGGGCAACTGCACGAGGAACATACTAAAAAGCTCGTGATTTTCCTGCTCATGGGATAGTAAAACATACTGGGCTCATCTACACGGTCATTAATGCACCTTAGATACTGCACATTTAGTTTACTACTTCCTTAATAAAGGACAAACTAAATGCACAGTACCTAAAGTTACTGTGCATTAGCAGTGGCGCATGGTTATTTAGTGATGCTTACTGCACATTAACTTAATAACACTGTGTAGTAGGCTATTAGCATGGTCTTTACCATGACATGCTACTGTGTAGTGTTATTAGGCCAATGTGCAGTAAGTGTCTCATGTAGATGCACCCACTGGGAAGCAAAAAAGCAGAATACTGGGGCAGGAGCCACCCACCACTGTCTCTGCTGGAGGACTTTAAGCAGGGGCTTCCTCACAGAGGTTTTTCTCTTCTACAGCTCATCAAGGACTGCAATGAGAATGTCCAGCGCATGAAGAGCACGGAGGAGCTGATCTACCTCAGTCAGAAGATCGAGTTTGAGTGCAAGGTCAGGACCCATCCACCCTGATTTCTACTTTAAATTCTCCCTGCACCAGTCCACCACTGCTAGCCCTGCCCTGTCACCTCAGTCCAGGCTCCCTCACATATCCCACCCATCCCACACTGTGCTCTTCAGCATCTGAGGAACAAGTATGAACTAGAATGAATCATACTTGCACAGAAAATGGAGTTTAAGTGCAGGGTGAGACTCCCTCCAAGACCCTCCTTCCCCAGTAATTTGTCCCAACTTCAGTATCTTACTTCTGTGGCTGAAGAGTGCCTGACTCTCCTCCATTTTGGCAGAAAGGGTTGGAGCTGAATCCATACAGCTCCATTCTTCAGTCCTGTACTGGAGTTGGAAGGAAGGAGACTCAGACTGACTTCCCCACTGCCAGGTGGGGAGATAAAAGCAAGCTCAAGCCTCATCTCTTACCTCTAGCAAAGGGTTGCAGGTGAACCCCAGCTCCATAGCACAGGCTTCCATGGGGATCTGATGGCAGCACTCATTCTATCTTGCAGATTTTCCCATTGATCTCACAGTCGAGAAGACTGGTGAAATGCGGGGAGCTGATGGCACTGGATTTCAACAGCCTGAGTCCAAAGTGGAAAGTCACCACACGCCCTATATACCTGCACCTCTTCAATGACTGCCTGCTCCTGTCTCGTCCCAAGGAGTGAGTCTCTCAGAATGCATCTCTTACCAGCTGCTCTCATCTCTGGTCCAGATGTTGGTGAGGCAGGATCCTTCTCTGTTGTCTCAGCTTGCTAGCCAGTAGATGGCAACCTTAGCTAGCTACATTTCTCAAGTTAGCAAGCCCACATTATGTAACAGAAGCAAGCTTTACAACATACTGCCCGATTGTGTAGTTTTGTAGTCCATTCCACTCTGCAACATCCTCCTTCTGTTTACCCTCCAAGCCCTCAATCTTTAAGATGCAAATACACATGTAAGAGTGTGACTGCATGCAGGCTGGGTTTTGCTCAAGAACTAAAAGAGTTTTCTCAGCCTGGTTTTGATTGCATGACTGGAAAACCAGCAGTGCACTGGCATGATAAGAAACTGAAACCCGAGTAGTTGGTGGGAAGACCTTTTCATGCCCCTTTTAAAATGAGAAAGGTCAAAAATGTTTGCAGGCGATATCTTTTATTGAATGCAGTGCATGGTTGGGATACATTAAAAAACCTTACCCAAGTTTAGTGGGGTATAGATTGTGGCTGTGTTGGTGTAAGGATATAGACAGACAAGGTCCTTTGGGTAAATCTGATATTTTTTATTAGACCAGCTCAAATAGTTGGAAAAATTCTTCTTTGCAAGCTTTCGGGTATAAATAACCTTCCTCAGGATGAGGAAGCATCTGCAGTCAGTGTGTGCTCTTCCTGGATGGACCAGCTTTCTTGCATGCATCCCAGCCTCTGGCTTCTTTACTTTTTATTCCATCCAGGAAGAGCACACACCAACTGCAGATGCTTCCTGAGCCTGACAAAGCGTGTTTATACCTGAAAGCTTGCAAAGAAGAATTTTTCCAATTGTTTGAGCTGGTCTAATAAAAAAGATCAGATTTACCTGTTCACCAGAGCGCCCCAAGGGATGACAAGGTCAAATGGTCACAAACTCCTCCAAGACAGTTTCAGGTTGGATATAAGGAAAAACTTGTTTACTGTCTGAGCCCCCAAGGGATGGAATAGACTGCCTCCAGAGGTGGTGCAAGCACCTGCTCTGGACTCTTTTAAGAAACATTTGGATGCTTATCTTGCTGGAATCCATTGACCCTAGTTGACTTCCTGTCCCTGGGGCAGGACTCAATGATCTTCCAAGGTCCCTTCCAGTCCTAATGTCTATGAAATCTGTGAAACCTTGTCTGTAAATTTAATGCATTCTTCTTCAGGTCAGTTGCACTCTTCTGCAAGTCATTCTTTAGAAAGGTCAAGCTATTTCACAGGCTCCTGATGAACACATGACAGAGACACTGTCAAAAGACTTCAGCAATTTTGGCCCTTTCATACATGTAATCACACAAGGCTGAAAAGCAAACAACCCCCTTCCCAAATGCAAAACAAAAACCTCCTCCCCTTCAAATCCCACCCCAAATCACAGCAACCACTTCCT